TCTCAATACTAAAAGTACCAGCTGTTGGTGGAGTAAGGGTAAGTTCATTGATATATTTTGGACAATGATAGCTGTAAATATGATAATTGGGATTGTGAGTTTGATAATTATGGTTGTGAGTTTGTTAATGATAGCTGTAAATATGATAATGGGGATTGTATGTTTGATTATGATGGTTGTGAGTTTCTTAATGATAGCTGTAAATATGATAATTGGGATTGTGAGTTTGATAATTATGGTTGTGAGTTTCTTAATGATAGCTGTCAATATGATAATTGGGATTGTGAGTTTGATAATTCTGGTTGTGAGTTTCTTAATGATAGCTGTAAATATGATAATTGGGATTGTGAGTTTGATAATTCTGGTTGTGAGTTTCTTAATGATAGCTGTAAATATGATAATTGGGATTGTGAGTTTGATAATTATGGTTGTGAGTTTCTTAATGATAGCTGTCAATATGATAATTGGGATTGTGAGTTTGATAATTCTGGTTGTGAGTTTCTTAATGATAGCTGTAAATATGATAATTGGGATTGTGAGTTTAATAATTCTGGTTGTGAGTTTCTTAATGATAGCTGTAAATATGATAATGGGGATTGTGAGTTTGATAATTATGGTTGTGAGTTTCTTAATGATAGCTGTCAATATGATAATTGGGATTGTGAGTTTGATAATTATGGTTGTGAGTTTCTTAATGATAGCTGTCAATATGATAATTGGGATTGTGAGTTTGATAATTCTGGTTGTGAGTTGAATAAAAAAATAAGGGTTGTAGATCAGCTAATAATGGTTGTGGATCTGCTAATGATGGTTGTGGATCTGCTAATGATGGTCGTTAGTTTGATAATGGTGGTTGTGGATCTACTAATGATGGTTGTGCCTTTGATAATGATAGTTGTGGATCTGCTATTGATGGTTGTGACTTTGATAATGATAGTTGTGAGTTTGATAATGATAGTTGTGGATCTGCTATTGATGGTTGTGACTTTGATAATGATAGTTGTGAGTTTGATAATGATGGTTGTGACTTTGGTAATGATGGTTGTGACTTAGGGAATGATGGTTGTGAGTTTCATAATGACAGTTGTTATTTTGATAATTATGGTAGTCAGTTTGATGATGATTTTGATAATGATGATTATAAGTTAGATCACTTTATTTTATTAACACTATATAGATATATGATATGTTCTTATTATTTCAGGCAATTTTGGAACCATTTTCCAAAGTTTTAAGCTTTGCCATTCAGAATTGTTCATTCAAACTACAACAACTTTTGGATATATGTTCACTATGTACAGAGCTTTTAGTAGGGTAAGTAT